CTCCTAGACACTATAATTGCACAAAAAATAGTTTATAAATGCAAAAAAGTACATTTAGCATGATATGTCTCCTTTAAATGTAATGCATTTCGGTGTGCTTTATACATAACTAACAAAATATAATCAATCAGATCATAGAATTTCATTAATTTCAGTTTACAAAATAACATATTAGAGGGATAATGGTAATGTTTTCAAGTGATGACTCTTATAGCCCTTTTTTGCAAAATAAAACAGGATGTGTAATAGTCTTACATGCCTTTCCCTACCTCAACACAATAGCCCAAGTGTGGAACAATTAATGAATTATATAACATATACAGAGCTTTATCAATGAACAAGTCCCTTATTTAGTAAAGCAATGCAATAGATTTTGCTAATTTTATTCTTAGATAATTTATATGAGGTTTCCATGTCAGTTTCTCATCAATAATAACACCCAGAAACATCACCTCACTGACTCTACTAATCTCTACACCACTAACTCTGAATGGAATGTCAACAGTTCTTTGTCTCTTTGTAAAGTATTATATAAGTACTTTTATACAAAGTGCTATATAAGTTCAAACCATTACAACCAACAAATGTACGTGTTTGGATAAAAAAAAAACCTACAATTTTTTATTTTAGTAGGATCCATGACCTGCTGCAGATCGTATGATGATGATCATTTGTTGCACATTTGTGTTTTTGTTTCAGACTTTGAAAACAGGTCTAACCATGGTGGGTAAAGTTGTTACTCAGCTGGCGGGCACCCTACCTGCAGGCACTCCTGACGAGGAGGGAACACCTCACTGYGTGAGTCGCCGCAGCCCCCACAACCCTGGAGTGGTCACCATCATTGACACCAAYAGTGTCGGTGAAGGACAGGTGAGATACATGATCAGATGCTTTTGTTACCTGGATCTGTCACTTTGGTGTTTTTTTTAATTTGAAATTTCTTTATTGATTGTTAAGTTTTAATCCCTTTTTATCATATTTACTTTCTCCGTTTTGTGAGTCTTGTGTTAGGTTCTGTTTTCTTTAGAGCGTTTCTCTGTGTTCTGTTCAGTTCAGGTGTCCAGGCTCAGCCTTAGAGACGAGGAGCTTGAAAAATGTTGAGGTGGTTTGGCCATTTGATAAGAATGTGATATGGAGGTTTTCTAGGAAAGTCCCAGTGCATTTTGGTCCCCCATTTGATCACATAACTAAGTTAATTGTGTGTTTGTCAGTCTTTGACTCAAGCTGCAGTAATATTTTAGTTTAAGTGTGGCAGAGCTTATTTACAAGTAGATTAGGACTTTTTGAAAAAGAGAAGAAGATTTTGGTTATATACAGTTTTCAGTGATAGAAAAAGAAACAAATAGTTTATATGACCCTTGTATGTTATTTTCTAATGTTGAAATT